TAAATGACGGTTTGTTGTTATTTACAATTTATGAAATACTTCACAAAGTAAAAATATTATGGATACTACAGTAGGCCATTAGTGGGAATGTAACAACATTAATGTATCCAATAATATTTTAAAATATGATCTGTATGATCCAAATCATATGTTCACACGAGCTTAATCCCTGAGTTTTAAGTGAACAGTAATAATAGTAATAATTTAATTTACAAAACAGCAGACTAATAAAAAAAATGTGACTAAATAATAATTTATCTATCCTATGTATCCTATCTTCCCAACAGATTCCCAAATCCACCAGATATGTCTGGGATGGATGGGGCGGTGGAGGAGATCAATGGTACGGAAGTGGACAGCGAGAGTTTCCTGAGGTTTAGCCCTGCATCTGTTTCTACCGGGGCGGCCGCTGCCTCATATGGACGGACTGCAAGTGTTTACGTCTACGTCTCCATCTTCCTCAGCTTGCTGCTTTTCCTCCTTACCCTGTTGATCATTGCTCTCCACAGGCTGAAGAACATCATATCCTCTAGTTCTTCATACCCAGAATGCGGCAGTGAGGCCGGGAGCTCCTTCACTAACATGGAGATCTGCAGCATTTCCTCACAGAGATCAACAGTGTCATCGCTGTCCTGACAGCAGAGAAAGACAGATCGATTACACATGTCGAAAAGTTCTGATATTATAGAAGTTTAGAAATATTCTAGCAAGTAATTTGGTATATATAATTAAATATTTATCATTATTATCTGTGTCATTTTCATTAACATTATTTAGAGTAAATAATTCCACAAACCTTGTGTTCACTTAAAATAAGCCACAGCCGATCCTGTATTGAAATAGACTGTATTGAAGCATTATCATGAAGGCTTTGTATGATTTTGGAAAAATATTAATGACTTGTGTATGTCAGTCACATTATGTACATAATGAACTGTAAATAGAAAAACTGTCATACTGAAAATTATATCTGACTATATTACTACACTTTCATGACTTTAATGCAAAAAAGTTACAGAACAGGAAAATCATCAGTAAAAAATGTGTGGCGTTATAATGAAAAGGAACAGCATACAGTGGATACTTTAGACACACTTATAAATGTATGAAGTCCATTGCATTAGAAATAAAATATAGCAAACAAATCATAATAGACTTATTTTTTTTTAACTAATTTCTGCATGTATACTCAAAGTGTTAAGGTGATTTTTATGAAGCCAGTTTCCCTCAAGTTCACACAGCTCACAGGTCCATTAACTATGGACTGGATCCAATACTGTTTGACAACCAGAAAATGTCCAAATACTTTCTGTAGTTTTGAAAACAAAGAAAACATGAAATATTATATTATATTACAAATATATTATTGAAAACATATCATTTCAAACCTATACTTTTATATTTAACTGTCTTTTCAGAACAGAACAAAAACCCATTTCTGCCACAAAAATATGAGATACTGAGTAAAAATTACAAGATAAAAAGATTAAATTATAGCATACTGTCATTATGATGACGTAAAAGATGAAATTATGACATAAAAAGACGAAATTATGCCAGAAAAAGTAAAAAATATGAGATAAATCCAAATTATGACACACTAAGTCATAATTATGAGATAAAAAGTCGAAATGATCACAAAAATTCAATTATGACACAAATTTGACTTTTCATGTTATTTTATCTCATAATTTAAATTTAGTATGTCATAATTTTGACTTTTATTTCATAAGTATTACATTTTATGTCACTATTATGATTTGCCAAAGCATTTTTGTGTGCTGGAAATGGGTTTCCATTATTAAACACATTAGAACTATTTGATATATTTAGATACTTATCTACTTGATAGATACTATTCGCAAATGGACAATAGAATACAATATAAGCAATACACAGTCTGCAATAAACAATACAGCAATCTGCGATCCAACACAGATAAATAATGAGAAGTCAGGGGCCCATAAAGTGAGCCTGAGGAGTGATATGGTTAGAATGTTTATTGAGCTGACAGCCGTTGGGAAGAAACAACCGCTGAAAGGTTTTAGTGATCTCAGCAGTTATGTGCTGGGTGAGATGGATCATTGGTGATGTCTTTAGCACGTATGTTGGTTGAACAGTAGCTTACCTGTACATGAGATCTGTACCTGTGATTCTGAGGCTTTATCGATGATGCATTCTACTTTGTTAGGGAGTCAGCATTGCCATACCGCTCAGTGATACGATGCCAATAATCTGCACCATGCACAATAATCTCTAATCTCCATAAACGGAGTAAAGGGTGTTGGCTATTTTTTTGTGCTATCATCTGCCATTTAGTCTGATATTTAGTTATCTAATGCAACGGCATTCATATAGGCTTTTAAAGTGTCTTCTACACGTGCAGATGCATTTAGGTCCAGTGTATTCGAGAATTCAGGTATTTGCATCGCTGCGTGGTGCCGCTAGAGGGCGCAACGTCAATTTCATCACACAGGCGAGACTCTTTCTGCAGCGGCCATCGATGTTTTGTTTTTTTTGTCGTGACTGGAGTCCTTCACAGCTCATATTTTTCCGTTTTTTATTCGTATAGGTCATATTTATTGGGTTATTTTTATTTAAAAATGCGGCATTTTTAATGACAGTCATATTAAATCAGCTTAATACTAATTTATTCTGTGCCGAGTTCACTAAAAAGGCACGTCTGGGTCAGTACGTTACGTTCATGAAGGTCGGATGACAGGTGAGAATTTGGGTTTTGCTCTAAAAAGACAAAATGAGCGACAGCGTTCATCTTAGTTTGGCAAACACGGGTAAAGAGGGCCATACCCCCGCACCCGCGGAAAGCAGCACCACCCCGTCCGACCAGGAGAACTTCCCGTACGACACGGAAGACCCGGGCGAAGAGAGCGACGTGCCGGAGGCGAGAGACGGCGCGGCCAGTCCGGAGGACCTCAACGACGACGAGACGTCCGGAGAGAGCGAGAACGTGCCCAAAACCTGCATCTACGACGGCTGCACGGAGACCACGACGCAGGTGGCCAAAGCCAGGAAACCCTGGATGTGCAAAAAACACCGGAATAAAATGTACAAGGACAAGTATAAGAAAAAGAAAAGCGACCAGGCCATGTCATCGGGAAAACTAGAAGTAAGGAAATGCTTATTTGGGATAAATAACAGCTTCAGTTGTTGCATTAACTTTAGCCTTTATCCCAGAGGCGGACAAAGTACTCAACTCCATTGCTTGAGTGAAAGTACAGATACTGCTGGTCAAATATTACTCCATTACAAGTAAAAGTTGTAAAGACAGATTTTTACTTAAATAAAAGTACAGAAGTACTTGCTTTTAAAAGTACTTAAGTACCAAAAGTTTTGTCTTTCAAATGTAGTGAAGTTAAAGTCATAAGTTCCCAGAAAAAATAATACTCAAGTAAAGTACAGATACTCAAAAAGTGTACTTAAGTACAATACTCAAGTAAATGTACTTAGTTACTGTCCGCCTCTGCTTTATCCCAACTTTGTAGGCTTATTTCAATGTTTTCTCTGTTTGTGATGTGAAGGAGTGTTCGGAGGATAGGCCTGTATCTGTTACTAAGCAACGGCTGGGTAACATGGGAGACAGACCAGCCAGACCGTCCCTCATTGAGCAGGTGCTGAACCAGAAGAGACTGGTAAGAGCATTGAAACACTTGGGGTTTGCACTAGAGTAGTTTTAGTCATTTAGAGCAATGTTATTTTAGTGTTATCTATATACTATTATAGTTGTTGTTACTATTCTAAATTGTTTGTATTTTTTTAGTTTTGGATTTCATTTTGTTTATTTTTAATCATTTTATTATGTGCTTTTGATGAATTTTTAATATTATTTAAAAAAATATATATTTAATTTTTATTTCATGTTTCAGTTTTTATTTATTTCCAGTTAGGAATTTATTTTTCAACTTAAACTTAAGAGCTAGTTACCAAGGCAACATTTGACTAATTATTAACAAATTACTAACATCATTTTTTCCATCTAATATTTGTTACTTTATTTCAGTTAACATTTTTTATGGTATTAGCTTTAGTTAACCATAACTTAAATAAATTAATAAATGAAGCTAATAATAACATAATTCAACTATTTTTTTGAAGGTTAATTTTTCAGTTTTAAAATATCTGTTTTTAATTCTCATAGTTTTTTAAAAATCTCTTATGTATGATTTGTATGCCAAATATTCTGTCGCATTGGGTTAGTGAATTTTATATCGTTTTAAAACCCTCATATGTATATTTAATATGTAATATAAATCCTATCAATATTTATATTAACTGAATATTATTTCATAGTAGAGTGACTTGCCATTAGCTGCCTGATGTTGTGTTGTTTTTGGGTTTCAGTCTCTGCTGAGGAGTCCAGAAGTCATCAGTTTCCTGCAGCAGCAGCAGCGTTTACTGACCACACAGAATCGAGCTCAAACACAGCACAACTAAAGAAGACTGAAGATGTTTACTCACCCTGTCAAGGATTTAATGCAGTCACATTTTCACAGACATTTTAAAATGGACAGTATTCTATAGTCAGGTGGGAACTGTGAGCATCTATGACCTGCAGCCATCCTCAATGGTGTGGAGACTATCAAAACTGCATTCTGAAAACTTGGCTATTTGACAAGGATCTAATCGATCTTAAGTACTGCTGTCATCATCAAGCTCTTTGAGATCATGAAATGAATTAGCAGCTAAATCTACAGTATAGCAACAATCCATTTGAATAGCCATCCTGTCCGGCCACATGTAGTGTCATTTAGGATTTTTTAATTAATGATAGAAAATAAGAAACGGCAGCTGTTATCATAAAAAAAATTTTTTTTTAGTGATCTTAATCTAATCTGTAATAATGTCACCAGTGAAAGCTACAGTTTTTTGCCACAACTTGACCGTGTAGCTGGAAGTAACAGCGTACACACACAATTGTTCAATCAGCTTTGTTATTTTAAACATGGAGTAAACTCAGTAAGTTGCTAAGAGCGATCAAATGAAGTTTTATTGATCTTGTGAAAATTGATAACCTGCAGTTTTCAGCTTTAAAAGCATTAATACTTAAGGATTGTTCAACTTTTTCACATTTGCGTTTAGGTTAGAAAATAAACAGGCACAAATAGAAGGGAGGTTTTTGTATTTCAAGATCAAGAAAGCTAACGCAAATGAAAAACAACTTGAAATGTTATAGAAGGCACATATTAACCAAAATATGACACAAATAAAACATTTCCAGAACAAGTACCTAACTACTAACACATTTCTTTGGCTTCCTATTAGAGAGATTCTGTCTGAATTGATCTCAGCTACTACATACTGTGAAGTAGTAGTGTTTATATATATATATATATTTATTTATTTATTTATTTTTTAATTAAAAACAATGCAACGCTTATCTAACCATTGCTTATTTAACAGCATGATATTGTACACATTTCCTGGCTGATCCTATAGCAGTACCATAAACATTCACTGAAAAGATACTTTCATAAGAGAAAGAGCGTTATGTGTCTTGAGGAGTGCTATAAATGTCTATTGGAGAACTATATTCCCCTTGTTCTGTAATGCATTAGGATACAGAGGAAATAGGATTGTGTGGGGAGCCCATCTGGGTCAGAACTTTGTCTAGCCACTGCAGTGGCCCGTGCAGGTGGATTTCTATCCAGCAGGGGGTGCTGGTGACGTCCTGACGGTGGTATTCCGCTCCCCAGCCCTGGGAAGAGGACAGATTTCATTCTCAATAATTGGCCATTTATACTACAACTAAAACAGCAAACCGGTTTTAAAAACAAATCAACAACAATAACATAAAAATTTAAAATATTAAAACATTTCATTTCCAATTGCCCAGCAGAAACAAAAGGAATTGCAAAAATAACTGCAAACTTGTTTCCCCAAAACTCTTCCATTTCATTCATATTTTAACATAGAAATAATCTCAATCAATTTGTTGTTTTTTGTCTGCATACATACAAATCGAGCAGGGAAAATTGTGTGTGTCGTATCAGTCAGTAACCGGAGAACTCTAGAGCTATGGGATCCGCAGTGTGTTTTGGCAGAGCAAGATCCATAAAACAGTAAGCCAAAGATTAGAATAACTACATATTATGTTTGCATAGCAACACACAGAAGATTTTCTATTTGGAAGTGCTAAGCACCTCAAGAGCTGTTAGCTTGTGAATGACGTTGATGACCTTTCTGTATTGCGATAGTGCTAAACAGCACCTTTCACCCATACTGTTGGTTAATAAGCTTGACAACAGAGTTTATTTAAAATACTGCATATTATTATATTCATATTTAGAATAAACTATATAAGTCGATTTTTGTTTTTTAAAGAAAAAAGAAAATAATTGTTTTCTAAGCTTGGGTACCGAGAATCAGTTCCGGTTCTATTTAAAAATAAATAAATAAAAGAAAATACTGGAACCAAACGGTTCTAGCACATGCATTCTGTATATTCACACGTTCCCTTACAAAAATACTTAAGATACTCTGACAGAGTTTCATTCACTACTTAATCAGTGACATTGCTACTGAATCTACAAACGTGAAAAAAAAGTGCAACCAGTGTAGTCCGATGTCTGAATTAATGACTCTTATGAACCTGATCTTTTTAGTGAATCAAAAGCATACAGTACAACCAGTATAATCCAATTCCCAAGTGAATGACTCTTAGGAACCAGCTCTTTTTACTGAATCAAAAGCATACAGCACAACTAGAGTAGTCTGATTCCAGAAAGAATAAATCGTATAAGCCGGTTCAACCAGTGTAGTTTAATTCCCAGTGTAGATTTAACTAGTGACTCTAATGAATTGGTTCTTTTGCTGGTGGTAGGCAGGGTGTTGCTATGCCATTCCAGGTGGCTGCTTGGGTGTTAACATGACCTTTATTAGCTACTCATGATGCACCACATATTCTATATAAACCTCTTTACCTTGACAAAGCTCATCCTGATGGTGCACATCTTGGTAAGTTCATACACCACCTCGAAGCCATGATTTACCGACTGAGACAGCAGCTGGGAAAACAGCTGGTTGTTGAAGATCTTCAGGCTGCATCCACTCGGGATCTTGCAGACAGTGGTGGGATGGAAACCGTGCTGGTAGTTACAGTTCCGACTCTGTATGAAAATACTGCTGTCACTCAGACACTCTGCGTACACCTCCCCTCCGACGTAATACAAGTGCACACCTAAAACAAAAGAGGAAAATGTTCAAAAATGAGTTAATAATTGCGCATTTTTCTTTTAAAGTCATAAACATGAAATTAAAATGTACTTTTAACTCACTTAATGCATGTTCCTGGTCTTGTTACTTTGTTAACTTTATTTCAAAAATGTATGTAATTGATCCAAATGTTCTTTTTCTAAAAGAGCTTTCTGGATCCACTAGCATCACTTAACCAATATGTAATATATTTTTACAAGTTATTATTTTAGTAAACGTGTGTTCAGTCTTGTTCCATTCTAGTAAGTTACACAACAATAATACATTTTGTTTATTCTTACACATTTCATTTCCATAATAATACAATTTTCTTGAAAACAAAGATTAAGGTGTGCAATCACTAAACTAGAATTATGAATTCACTATAGACGGATACCATAAACATTTAAGACACATTATTGTTAATGATGAAAACTATTAAAGCATTTTTGTTAATTTAAATAACGTTGAAATAAAATAAAATATAAATATTAGATGAAAAACTTCTAATGTTTTTCTCCTCTAATGAAAAATTAGAAATGCTGCCTTGGCAACTAACTAAATACATTTAAGCTGAAGCACTAAAATTACTAAGTGCAAATAAATAACTAAAACTGAAGTACAACTAAACTTATACAATTAAACTTATAAAAAATATACAAATGCATTAAACCTAAATAGTAGTATTAAAAAGAAGCACAAAAACAAAAGAACATAAAATGATTACAAATTTAACTCAAATTAAAATATAAACTGAAAATATACAAATAAAAGCTAATTGAAAATATTTATAAAAAGTATAACAGTATATAAATAATGCTAAAATAACCCTGCTTTACAGGTCCTCAAAAATAATAAAAATAACATCTAACAATTTTATACAAATGTGTTTACCACAAGCACAAAATTCACACATAAAACAGTATATCCATCTTTGAACTTGGTAAATCCCAGAAATCGTTGTCCTTGGCGCTCTTCCCACCAGGATCTCTCACACAAGTAGATGGAACTCAAACTTGGCCTCCGTCCATCTGTGCCCGGCGTGTGTATGTGTGCATATTTCTCCCTGTCACTGCTGTAACCTATGACAACACTTAATGTCTTTCCAACACTGGCACAGTGACGCTTATCTAGCACCCTGAGAAAAGCCAACATTTGGATAATGTGGACTCTATCTGTCTCGCTGGCTTTCTGAAGTGCAGTGTTGACTGGACAGCACTATCTGGTGCCATAAAACAGTGTCTAGCAAGTGGTGATTTTAGTTTTTTTTTTTTTTTACTTTCTCTTGGGATTGAATCAACTGATGGAAGACATTATCAGCAGCTTGATCTTCTCAGAACAACTGTGTTTCCTGTCTTTTTCTGATACAAAAACCCTCATCAAACACAAATATAGAAAAAAAAGAAATGTAAAACTTTCAACAAACCTTTGCTTATGTGTCTGCGAGTGTGTTCAATGGTGGAGTTTCGGTTGACGTTGGATAGTAATCCGAGGCAGAAGCGGTTCTTGTTGTTGGAGGGGTCTGTGAAGCCGTCCACGAGGATGCTCCTGGAAGAGGCATGGAACGTCTCACCCACCCTGTTGTTTAGTTCATAATACGCCACTGAACACCAGTATTCTGGTTCCTCATAACACACTGGCCTCAAGTCTAAAAAAAAAAAATTTATATAATGTATCATACCTCATTGTATTCAGATTCATTCCATATTCATGATCCATTTTAATTAGAAATAATGTCATCATGATTAAACACTTTCATTGTTTGGACACACCAGATTGGATTGATTTTTCTCAAGATTTAAAAAAAGTTTTAATCTGGTTTATGCTTAAAGGTTTGTAATTAGAAATTAGATTTATATGCAAATATAAATAGAGATTTCTTTAATAAATTCAAAATTTACTTTAATTTGTTTTAAACCAATAGGATAAGGCCTGTTAACACCAAGAACGATAACTATATAAGATAACTACAGGTGCATCTCAATAAATTAGAATGTCGTGGAAAAGCCACACCGATGCATGAAAACATTCTGTTTATTATAAGCGCTTGCTGCAGTTTTGTCATTTGCAGCTTTAAATACTTTAAAGTCGGGTGGATTTTGATTGGCTCAGTGTCAATGTTATATAAAATTGTTTAACATTTTTGTCACTACATAATTATTTTTCATACGTGTTATTTTATTTTTTATTCTAAAATGAATTACTTTATTATTATTTATATACCATTTGTTTTCAAATATTTCTATTTAGCTGCATTTTTATTTGTTTTGTTTTAGTAATTTTGTTTGTCATTTTTTTTTGCTAATTTTTTTTTCAGTTTTAGTAATTCAATGTATTTTATTAAATTCAGTTAGTTGCCCAATTTTAAATCTAAAGTTCAAGTTTTCATCTAATATTAACATTTTATTTCAATTAAAAAATATATATTCAACATTTTTAGTTAACATTGTAAATGAGGTGTGTTCACAGCTTTTGCACATTTCAATGTACATAAAGCACAGTAAGTATATTTAGTCGAGTGTCTCACCTCTATGTGGGGCTGACAGAATGAGTTTATTGGTGTTGGAGGACTCTCCAGGTTTCACATCCTCAGATGGAGTGGTCTCCATCATACTGTAGGGGGGTGGAGGTGTCTCTGCTGTGAATGACCAAGATGATTGTATAAATGTATGCAACTCAATGGCACTATACTTAAATTAAGTACCAAAACATCAAATAAAATGCTTGAGAAATCACTGCTAATGAGTGCCATTTGTTGTACCTGTAATTTGGTAGGGGCTCCCAGGGTCGGTCGCACTGCTGGGGGAGTTGGGGTAGCTGTGTGCAATCGGGGACTGGTTTAAAGAGCTGGAGGGAGATGAAGAGAATGAGCTACAGGGCATCACAGGGAAGGAGTCTGGGTAAGTGGCATTTTGGGGCATGAGAGGCTCGTTGTGTAGGGAAGCATTCCGGAACTTTGCCAACAAGCTGTGCTGGGGATTGAACTCACTGTGACGTGGCACAAGGACTGGAGGTAGAACTGTTTAGAGAAAAAAACAAACAAAAAAAAGAGTAAGAAGTTACTTACAGATGCATTAAGCGATAATCAATATGAAAAAAAAGAAAAGTGGTTTGTGTATCGATTGCTACCTGGCGTCTCCACACGGCGGTAATGATATGGATTGATGCAAATCTCCTTTTGTTTAGAGCCGAAAGGAAACTCGCAGCAGTCCAGCGCTTTGAGCTCATGGTGGGACTGAAGATCCGGCCAGCGCCACACTCTGCAGTAGATAACATGCGGCAGACCTTTACGATGGGACACCTGGAGCCTTCCATCCAGGGATCGAGGGATGGTAACGCATTTACTGGGCTGGCCAGGAGAGCTCAGAGCCTTTTCCAGTTCCTCCATGGCCCCTTTCTTCTTCTTGAGCTTCTTTACGAGGGAATCCACAGCCTTTTCCGCCCACTTTTCCTCCTCGTCTCCTTGTTTCCAGCCCAGCAGCCTTTTCACAGCTGGACTGGTGAAGGAGAAGAGGGACGTGATGGATGTGGTGGAGTGCATCATGCGATGGGGCGACACCAGGGACTAGATTTTTCTCAAAGCTTGGGGCAGATCTGTTTTAAATCACTCCAACCCAGGAGCCTCAGTTTATTTCTTTACAGACAAGATACAGGCGAGTATAGAATAAACCCCCTTACAGTGATTTTTCGTCAGGCAGTCAGCCGTTTTTATCTGGTGAAAGAAACAAAGAAGCATGTTAGAATTGCATTAATAAAATTATAATTGAATATGCATTAAATTAATTAATTGTTATTCATTTCAAATTATTTAACATTTTGAAAAGTTATTGAATTATTTAATTAGTTAGAATTGAATTAACATTAAAAAAAATTTTTTTTTTTTTTTTTTAAATCAGTACAAATGAAAAGTTATGGACAAAAATATGGACATAATTATATAAATATTTACATTGTGGTCAAAGAAATCTTTTTAACATTACACAAATGAAAATTAGATTTTTATTGTTATTTATGTATTTAGTAAAAGAAAAATGTATACTTTTTGCACCATGGTTATGTGAATTAGGACAAATTGTGCTTTATTGTCATGAAAAACAATGTCTAAACAACGTCAAAATCTAAATGAATATTAAGCTAAAGGGTTTCATTTTCTTTAAGCAAAATCTTATGATTTTGGAGTGAAATGCGACATGGATATTTTCTTTTGTGAGATTCACCCTATTAGGGTGTAGGATTTATTGACATAAAAACATTTTCCTATGCAGATCTCAAGATCTTATACTGGAGGCCAACATCATGCATCTGTGCATGCTGGGATTTATGAATTATTGCGGAGTTATTGTTGCTGTCAGTGTCAACAGGTCCTACTGTGTTTCTCACTGGACCTCACCTATTTGTCCTCTCCTTTTCCTGCAGAAGCTTTCTGATGCAAAAAAACGATCTGCTAAAAATCAATGCCGTTTGAGCATTTGAAACCAGAGATGCTTGCTTCCATCTTTGGCCAGACTAGTCAAATAATACCTTCTGAAAATATTACTGCATGCGATATTAGAGGTGTTAACACACCCCTAACTAAATCAAATAACCATAGGAGAAAAATGAGACCCTATAGGACTAATAGCGATGCATGAAATCATACTTTGGTTTCAAATAGGCACAGGCAGGCAGGAAGATCAGTTGAGGGTGAATTCATCTGCTCCTCTGTTCTCAAAGGCAGTGTGTCCTTATGAAACTGGCGTCTGGCAGTCTGAGTGCTGAGATAGGCTTAATCACATAACTCCCCCGCAAACGCGCATACACATCCTTCCCATCAACCTCACTTTGTTTTTTGCTTTAAGAAATGTTGCAATGTTATATTTAGCACTTATTTAAAAAACTATTCCAGGCGTAATAACTGTCGTAACTTCTCTCTATGGAGCAGCATCTTTAAACAGCAAGTGGCATAACAAACAACGTCTATGTTTACGCAGCCTACCTTGTTAAAAAGGTTTACATGCAAGAAGTTTTAACGTGAGGAAGAAAAAGTAAAGTGTGACAAGACCAAAAAAAAGTTAAAACACACTTGTCAGGACTTGTTCTTATAATTTAGAAAAATGTCAATTTTTAAATCCTGAAATAAATGCTAAATAATATCAAAAGCGCTATATAACACGTTTTATTCCTTACCTTAATGTGACGACTCGAAAAACGATCCGCGTAGTCGGGTAATTCCGCGAAACAGCCGAACGCTGAATCTCTCGCCGACTGGAGGTGTACAGCGCGTGTGTTTGGATCGAGCGAGAGCCGCGGCGTCAGTCTGACTGGAGCCTCAGCGCCTTCGTGCGGAATTCATCCGCAGCTCCTGGAACTCCCAGGACGTCAGACACAGAGGGATCATAATCCCATTCAAAAAGAGCAGCCTGAGACTCACTCACAGGCCTATTGTTGAGAGAAAACAGGTCATTGTGGGCAGCAGCGTTTCACTTTTAATTTGTTTTCAGGGTCAGATGACAAGTGCGGACAGTTGTTTTCCCGGCTTTCACAGGAAGTGATGCATCTTTTTGGCCAAGGTTGTAAAGTGAAAGCGATTTGTTGAAGTTTTTCTGACTTTTTTTCAGCGGAAATTTCTAGAGTGCGAATTATTCGGTTACTTTCAAGCGGTCAACGTTCCAAAGGAATTTCTTTTAGAATTTTGAAAGAAAAAATCGGTTGAGGTTCATGTAGCGCAACCCAAATTGTAGTTTGATGACTGCCAGTTTATCTTAAAAACACGTACAAAAATAATGTGATATTAATATATAAAACGTTTTTATATATTAGTGATACGTAAATATATAACGAAAGTAATAAATAGTGAGAGTAGTACTTTTGTCGACGCTCGACCATATTTCGATCCCAAAGAAAACGTTGTTGCTATGGTTACCCCAAGGGAACGCAACTTCTGATAACAAGCGCCTTCTCACTAACTTGTAGGATAACCTCATACTTGCGGCTACTGACTGAAAGGTTGTTTGTTAACTATTGAACCATAGGTTATATATACATATACACGTGTTATATATATATATATATATATACACACACACACACTTGAAAAGTAGAAGCTTGTTAAAATATAAATTATCATAGTAAAAATCAAAACCGTTTCAGTGCTAGATTGGCGGAGTGCCAAAGTGTTTATCAATAACCCTACTTTTCGTGCGCTCCTCGGCGCGGATGGATACACTTCGATTGTGTGCATACTGTGATTTGTCCAGTTAATGACGCAAGCCTGGATGGCGACAGAGAGTCTAGAAGTTTGACATTTTCACAGTTTACAACAACTGCAGGGGAACGTAACAATACTCCCAATAATGACAGCTCGCATATTTAGTGCTGTCTTTGATCAAATGAGTTTGGCAGGGGAATTCGCTTCCAATAAAAGTGCACCGCAAAATGATCCTCTTCAATCAAGGTGCACAGGATCATATACGTTACTGACGAGGCTCTATATATTTAGGGCGGGGAAAATACAATACATCAATAGCTGCTTAAATCACTGATGTAAAAAAAATTGTCAGTGTAAAATATTTAAATATGCCCTCTTAAGAGTGGCTGACAAGATACAGGGGCTGAAAAAGAACAAATGCCTTCCTGGTGGAGAGTAAGGGAGGAAAAACAGGATACTCTCTCCAGGGTGCAGAGCAGCCCATTGAGTAAACCACATTAAAAAAAGCACTGAGTACATGCCAGACCATAGACTATTTCAGTCGGTCAACTGTTTTTAAACCTTATATGCACAGGATGAGCGTGTTAATAATGGATTTGAGGGCACTGATTTTAAGCATTCAGTTAAATTCACACTACTTTCATTTCTTGTAAAATTGCTCTGCATCAAAATCTGTTTTTCAAATAAGCATGATTAACAAAAAAAAAAACATTTATCATTTATCTTCATCTGTTTCTATGAAACATTTTCAAATTAGTTGCAAATGCAGAAATGCTAACTGATTATAAATTTTTTTTTATTTGGCTAAGAACCATCTGCCCCTTTTTCAAACCAAAACTTAATACAGTATGTAAAAGAAAAGATGGAAATGGCAATATTACATCAAAAAACAAGGACAATCCCCTTATGTGGTCACGGCACAGTCAGTGATAATAAAATGCTAATGCTGTTCACCGACTGCGTTCACAGTGCACTCATTTGTGGCAGTGGGCTGTAAGTTTAACCATTTGCCCCTGTTAGCTCACGAACAGCACACTAGCAGTAACAACAGCTACTGAGTTTTTCTCTCAGACTCCAGCCTCCAGGCACCAGTGAGGTAACGCAGTCTGATTAAGACTAGATCCCGGCCCATCTGTAGCCAACTCCAGAACGGCACCAACTTTGACCCTAAAATGTGCCATAAAACAAGTCTTCATTACCTCATAGAGGAAATCACCTTCATTTTTCTGACATATACTGCTAGAAAAAAAAGAGTTTTAATTGCCTACATGCAATTTAAATGCAATTATATTTCAAAACTGACAGCACAAACCTTCAATCTCTGTCCAGTTAACAGCTACTTCTACTACAGGTATTTCAAAACACTGAGCAATGAAGAGAAGTTCCACATCAAATGCCCTGCAAGGATAGGAACATTTATTTTAATTCAAAAGGTTAAAATTAACATTTAAACTATAATAATAATAAAATTTAAGAAATTAAAAGATTAATTCTACAATGAATTTAATCTAAAAGTGCTTTTTGGAATTTTATGCTGTGTGCAAAAGTTGCAGAGATGCTTTAATATAACGCCTCCTTACCAGCGTTCCACATGCAGGCTGGAGAAAGTTTTCAAGGCAGCTTCACGAGTGAATAGCTTAAAACCACATTGTGTGTCTTTAATCCCTCTCACACAGAAGAACCACACCAGGAAGTGGAATCCATACATCAGGAACGTTCGGAACAGAGACCGCTGTCACAAGAAGAATGAAAATGCAGAAGTATTGGCAATTTACTCATGAACATTAACTGTTATGCTCCAGTATTTAGATATATTGAGAAACATTGTTACCTGAGCCACTGATTCTTTTTCCAGGTGAGCTCTGGATCCACAGGAGATCGCCATGTTATCCTGCATGGACACAGGAGAAAAAGATTTCCAGAGATCTCTTGGCAAGGAAAGGTCTGTTGGTAATCTGATAACCGTATCTCCTGGCTAAGCTTCAAACAGATATTTAATCCACATACCAACAAGAGATTGGCAATATGCTGCCTGTCTATTTTTATTTACAAAAAGTGGAGTCTCACAGGCTTCTCATCGATGCTCTCAAGACCTTCTTCAACCTTTTCAATGTCAGCAAATTTAGTGGCTCCGTCTGCATCAGCCATAAGAATGAGCCGTCCGCGACAGCTTAGAGTTCCCTGAGTAAAGATAAACACAATAAGGAACAACATTCAACTATTTCATTATCTAAGTGGGTGCAAAATAAGGCTTTTAGCTAAGATTGAGCACATATTTAAACTTCCTCAGGCATCAAGCCATTTAACTGATTAATTGAGTTTGTTCACATTCCCAGCTGAGTGCAAACAGCATCTTTGTTATATCTTTCTTCAGATTTCATCTGAAATGTGGATATCGCAAAAGGAGAACTGGGTGTTTTTGTATTGTTACCATTCTCACTGCACCGCCTTTTCCACGGTTCTTCACTAATGTCAAAACTCTCACTTTCTGTGCTCCATACTTCTTTGTGTATTTCATGGCAACCTGAGGATACAAGCATTCAATTTGAAAACATGCACAGTAACTATTTTATTATTATTGTTTATATATATATATATATATATATATGTATAAAAGAAAAGTACCTCTGTAGTTTTGTCTTTGCTGCCATCATCTACCACAATAACTTCATAGGTGAATGATGGATTCTCCTTCTGTAAAATCAACAAGAGGATACATTAGGTTAAACCGAGTCACTTTAGTTACAGCACTGCCATCTAGTGGTGAAACACTCAAACAGACTCTTAAACAACTGCAGAAAAGGATCCAAAAGAATTAATTTTTGGATTCCCAGGTGAACTCAGATATTTTTACATTTATTGATTTTATATTTTGTAAGTACATATGTTACAGAACAATCATAATCACAAATATTTTACTCAGAAAAACAGAACTTAACCATTGACTCATTTAAATCAATTAAATACTGGACCTGTCTTTTCTCCAGGTATTCCATGGCTTCATCCATCATAACAGGCACTGTGATAGGACAGAGATATGCATTAACAATATAAATCCTCTTCTAGCCAAAAGCAGATTAATGATTTTGAGCCATATGGATCCAGTGGAGGTGCTAACCCAAAATTATATAAATTTGTGGTCAAAAGTTTGGAATAATTAAGATTTTCTTATGCTCACCAATGTTTCATTTATTTGATCAAAAATACAGTATTATGAAAACAATAATCACGTTTTAAAAAAAAAAAAATTACAATTTAAAAATGTGTTTTCTATTTCAATATATTTTAAATGTAGTTTAATACTGTGATGGCAAGGGTGAATCTTCAGCATCATTACTCCAGTCTTCAGTGTCACATGATCCTTCAGAAATCATAACAGTTGTGCTGCATAATATTTTTGTTGAAACTGTGATGCATACCATTAAAAAAAAGAAAAGAAAGAAAACAATTCTTTTCTTTTGAACTTTCTATTCATCCAAGAATCCGGCTAAAAAAACCAGCTTTGCCATCAAAAAATAAAGTTTTAAAATGTATTCAAATAGAAAGCAGTTATTTAAAATAATAAATTTAATACACATTTTTTTCTGTATTTTGATCAAATAAATGAAGCCTTGGTGATCCAAAAGTGAAAATTACCCCATGATTTACTCACTCTCAAGCCATCCTACTTCTTCTTTCAGACGAATACAATTGGAGTTATACTGAAAACTGTCCTGGCTCTTCCAAACTTTATAATGGCAGTGAATGCTGGTCGAGATTTTGAAACCCAAAAAAGTGTGTCTATTCATCATAAAAAGTTATCCACATGGAGTTAATAAAAGCCTTCAGAAGCAAAGCGATGCGTTAGCGTTTGTGTAAGAAAAATGTCACTTTTTTGGGCTTCAAAATCTCGACCAGCATTCACTGCCATTATAAAGCTTGGAAGAGCCAGGACAGTTTTAATTATACCTCCGATTGTATTCATCTGAAAGAAGAAAATCATATACACCTAAGATGGCTTGAGGGTGAGTAAATCATGGCGTAATTTTCATTTTTGGATGAACTATCCCTTTAAGAGACTTCTTTCAAAAACATTTTTTAAAAAACCTTTGACCATCAGTGTATACATATTACTGCATATACCATCAAAACAACTCACATCTGAGTTCCTCGTTGTATGACGGAACAACCACGGACAGCTCCAGTGATGGAGGGTCCATCAGACTGGGAAAAGACTCCTCCTTGCCATCTGCAGTCAAGAAGTGTTTCTCCTTCTCATGGCGAGTCTGATCTACTGTGTTAGCACTGACATGTAGCACGACAACAACCTAAAGACAAGAACAGGTGTGACACAAGGGAGTAACTAACTTGTTCAACTGGACGAATCGGTGAAGCTCAACAAAAGTGTCACTATATATACGCACAAGTATTTCAAAAACACTTTTCATTCATTAAAATGCATTAAAAAAATTGTTTTACAAAATAACAAAGCAAGAAGAGCAAACAAACTACCCTCTATAATATAAAGATGTATAAACACATATGAAAATGCTAATGATAAAATGATATAAATGTACCAATAGTAAGACGATCAGCGACAGGATCAGCGAATACTGCATTAAATCGTATAAAGAGAAATCCATCATCCATATCCCAGTGAACATTGCACTGAAGGGAAGCTGTCACCAGTGTATAGCTAAACTACTCTACTGAAGCATACAGAGCAGCCTTAAAACGAGCCTTTCGGCGACTTCGCAAGGCGGGACAAACATGAATGGGTGTCGTACTAAATTACGGAATAAATAGTTACATCTCCATTGTTGAACTTTACTTCCAGTCACAGAGAAACACCTACGCGGAAGCCGTCTTTACGAACCACATCATCACAGCGGGCGAAGAACACGCAGCGCCGCAGAGCGCCGGATGGGAAACAGCACTAGCGCCCCACACTGGAGCGGAGGACGCGAGAGTCACGTCTTTACGTCACTGCAGTCTTCACGTGGTGCTTCTAAACATCATGGCGGCTGGTTTCAAGTGAGTGAGTTACTGCTACACAGCATGAATTACATGTGTAGATTGTTTCTGAATTATTTAGTATATTAGACGTTGTCTGGACAGTGAGATAATGACTTCGCTGTATTATTTAATATAAATAACTAGACATTAATTGTTTTTTTTTTTAGAACCGCAGAGCCTCTAGAATATCACAGGAGCTTTCTGGTGAGTTGATCAATATTTGATTTCTGTCAGCTTCGATAAGTGTTATATAACACTAATCTAATAATTCAGTTATTCGTTGTCTTAATCTAATATTTCTACAGAAAGAAAACTGTCGTCCAGATGGAAGGGAATTGGGAGAGTTCAGACCCACAACCTTAAATATTAGTAAGTATGGGATGCATATTAAAAAAACACACAGAATTTTCAATTCTTTACAAATACAGAGATGTTATTAGGCATAATTGGATTATTGTGTCCTTCTAGGCTCTATATCTACAGCTGATGGATCAGCACTGGTGAAAATTGGAAACACCACAGTGATCTGTGGGATCAAAGCTGTGAGGATCATTTTTATTTTCAAGATTTTTTTTTTTTATCATTAAAATGCATTTTTTTCATTTTCCTAAAAATGATGATGTGGCTGTTGATTATGAAGTTACAGCATTTTGTTCTTTCAGGAATTGACTATGCCGCCATCTGATGCTCCAAATAAAGGATATATAGGTAAATGTAAATTAGAATCGGATAATTGACTAATGTTATACATTGGGGTGTTGAATGAAATATAACCCGAGTTCCTCTTTGCTCTCCAAGTCCCAAATGTAGATCTGCCTCCACTGTGCTCATCTAGATTCAGACCCGGTCCACCAGGAGAACAGGCTCAGGCTGCCAGCCAGTTTATCGCAGATGTCATTGAAAGGTACAACCACATTCCTCTTTGTGTTGAAGCAGTGGGATTTTTTCCCCATCTAAAAATCTGAAATTTTAGCAAGACTGCAAATAATGTTTGCATGAAATTACATATTTAATATTTATTTTTTCTGCTTTTTAGTTCAGATTTAATAAATAGGGAGGAATTGTGCATTGAAAAATCTAAGGTAAGATTTATAAATAATAGCCTATATTGTCTATATAATAAGACTCTAAAATACTTCTTATCATCAAATTGCTCTTTTCAAATCCTTTGCATTTCTTTTAATGGGATTTTTCTAGCTTTGTTGGGTGCTGTACTGTGATATTATGTGTTTGGATTACGACGGGAACTTACTTGACGCCTGTATCATAGTTCTGCTGGCAGCTTTAAAGAACGGTGAGCGCTTCTTCGGAATATAACATTTTCTCCGGCTGTTATGATGACTAATAAAGACATTTCATATTTCTCAGCCCGACTCCCTGAAGTCACTATAAACAAAGAGACAGATTTAGCAGAAGTTGACATCCAGAAGAAGAGGCACTTGAAGATCAGCCGGCATCCAGTTGGCTCATCATTTGTAATATTTGATGAGTAATTGAAACTTATTTCTCTATTATACAACTGCAGTGTGGGTTGGTGTTAAAACACTTTTTAGTTTAGTCCAAATCAATTTCATGACATTAGGAAAGAGAACACTTGTCTCGAGATCAATATAACATTCTTTAGAAATGACAAGAATGAGTTCAGGCACAATCTTTTCCATTTTCTCATTGAACAGCTCTATAATCATAGTCGACCCTACAGCGGAAGAAGAAAGCCTGTCAACAGCATTACTGACTGTGGTAACAGACGAGGAGGATCGACTCTGTGCCGTCCACAAACCAGGTGAACATTAAGACAATTGTGACATTGCAGGTTATTTACACGCAAACTCATCAGGGTGAAAACTGCAACAGATTTTTTTTTATCAGCTTTAAAATATGGATTTACAGTCAATTTTAGCATGAGGATATAGGGAAAATCTCACCTTAGACCTTGTGTTTTTTGTTTTGTTTGAGTTTTTATTAAATTATAAGAATTAAACCATCCAATAAAGAACCATATACTACTAATACTATTGCACTTTAAAATAAAAAATATTTTATAATAGTTTACATAACAGTAAAATTACAATGCTAATATTCATGTCTTTGCTCACATGAACTAATATTCATCTTTGCATATTTCTTTGCTTTAAATCATTAAACTTTAAGGTTTATTTTGCGTTTATTTATGCTTTTGTTGACAATTTTATAATAATTCAATTTTACATAACAGTAAAATTACAATGCTAATATTCATTTCTTTGCATATTTATTTGCTTTAAATCATTAAACTTTAAGGTTTATTTTGCTTTTATGCTTTTGTTGACAAAATTCATAAACGGTCTTTACAAATTTAAAAAACCTATTAGATCTACACAAATCATACAAATTAGCGATTTTGGATCCAAAAATGTTTTTTGTTTTTTTTTATGCATCCCTGAGCTTTTGCAGATTGAATTTTTTGAGGGCTGCAGATTTGATTGAATATTTTTTTGTAGATCTAAAAACAAATGTTCCATTTTGTTTAGGTGGGACGTCGTTATCTGGTGAGAAACTGCAACACTGCATAAATCGAGCCATAACGAGAAACAAAGAAATCAGCAAACTGGTGGACAAAGTCATTGAGAGCATGAAGACGGCGAAATAAACACACACAGTCTTGACATTTTTATCTAAAAGATGTATTTTTCACTGTCAATATATACTTTCTTTTTTATCACAATAAAACTGCCGACAAAGACCATTTACAAAAATTCTGCCTCAGTGTTCAGAAATGTCATCCACTCACATGGTTTAGATTTTTTTTCTTCATAAGAATATACATCAACTCCCCCTCAGTATAACAAAATGCCATTTTAAAATGTGCCGTATAAAAACCACACATGTAATTGCATGCTGGGACAAGGCGGCCTATCACTCTGACATCCAGCAGTAGAGTGAATGTTTTCTCGTAACTAAAGTTGAGCAACAGGTGATTGAGGCACATCTGTACGGCCCTTATTAGTGTGCGTAGGGTCCACCCTCTCAAGCCAAACAGGCTATTGTTGAAAGGGCCATTTGGAAAGAGAATAAAGACAGCATGCTGTAGAGAACCCTACAAGAATTGTCTCATTTAATATCTTGTATTTCTTTAAAAAATACGGTAATACTCTAAGGTCCCCTGCTCTAAAAGTCCTCGCAGTATATATTCATCTGTCCTGAGGTCAGGAGGGCAATTCCTGCACCCCTATGAATGTAAAAAAAAACAACTTTAGTCCGGTCAAGCCACAGTCAGTCCGTAAAATGCTCCTGATCAAGCACAGTGCCGTTTGCTGACGTCCGGCCGTAGGTCATGATTTGGGGAGGGGCTGTGGCGTGCTGCGTTTCCTCTTACTTTTTGGCTGGTTGGCGGAATGTTGCCGTGGCAGTGCCCCCACTGCCATACCCATTTGCTGCTGTTGCATTTGGTGCTGCAAGAATTGCAACTGTGTGAAAGGGAAAAGAAACGGATAATGAATATGTGCAGTTAAAAATGTCCCCAGAGTCTCTCACAGCAGCTGTGCCTCAGAAGCATCTCTTCCACTTAGCCATGGAGATAAATGTTATGAATGTAAACCTTCAGCTCTGATTGTTGGTTTTAGTGTATCCCACCCTCCATCGGTACTTGTAATCAATTTATACAAATGTAGCCAAGTATGGGAAGACCAGTCAAATTGCTATACGAGTTTCTCATTATTTTAAAAACTTACACTTGAATGATGCTTAATGTGAAAATATTTAAATAATATTATAAGTTATAATTGTACAGTTAAAAGTTTGGGGTCGGTAAGTTTTCTTTTGAAAAATTATTTTTTTACTTTTATTCAGCAAGGACACTTTAAATTGATCAAAAGTGACAGTAAAGACATGATGCAAAGGATTTCTGTTGCAAATGCTGTTTTTTTTAACTTCATACAAAATTCAAAAGAAATATGTGACCCTGGACCACAAAACCAGTCATAAGGGTCAATTTTTCGAAATTTAGATTTATACATCACCTGAAAGCTGAATAAATAAGCTTTACATTGATGTATGGTTTGTTATGAAAGGATAATATTTGGCCGAGGTGCAACTATTTGAAAATCTGGAATCTGAGGGTGCAAAAAAATCAAAATATTGAGAAAATCGCCTTTAAAGTTGTCCAAATGAAGTTCTTAGCAATGCATATTACTAATCAAAAATTAAGTTTTATATACCCCTGAGACTTAAGACTGGTTTTGTGGTCCAGGGTCACATATATAAGAGTAATGACGCTGAAAGTTCAGCTTTACCATCACAGGAATAAATTACATTTTAAATATAGAAAACATTATTTTAAGTTTGAATAACATTTCACAATATTACTGTTTTGTTGTATTTTTGACAAAATAAATGCAGCCTCGGTGAGCATAAGAGACTTCTTTCAAAAACATCAACTTCTTACCAACCCCAATCTTTTGTTTAAACTGCCTACAGGTGCATCTCAATAAATTAGAATGTCGTGGAAAAGTTCATTTATTTCAGTAATTCAACTCAAATTGTGAAACTCGTGTATTAAATAAATTCAATGTACACAGACTGAAGTAGTTTAAGTCTTTGGTTCTTTTAATTGTGATGATTTTGGCTCATTAATATTATTCTAAAATTTGGGATGCACTGATATTAAAATTCTGGTCGATAAGCCAATAATTATTTTCTTGTTCTGGCCCAATAACAGATAGATGGCAGATATTAAAATTCAATACTCTTGTATAATTAAGTTAAAAAGAAAACACTATCAACTAATCATTTTAAATACTACAAGTGAATTGAAGCATCATAAGTATGAAAAACGGATATTCATTTTGAGATTTGCTAAAGATTATATTTAACAGTGCTATTAAATTATTAAATGTTTTTAAAGCTACTCTCCCAGTAGCTCTGACAATGGAAGAGTTTCAACTAAAGCAGAGCTGCTGAAAGGAAACCACCATTCATTAACACTGCAGTGAAAACAAATGCAACACGCTGGACAGACATCAACGCTGTTTGCAGAAGCTTGGTGAGGCTGAAAGAGGGAGGAATGGAAGACTCGGGGATAATCGATGGGAACAACAAACTGAGGAACAGGAAAGGATGAAGCAGGAGCGATAAAATTAAAATTAAAAGTGCAATGCAGCTGTTTGTCAGTTATACTCTATTACACACACACACACACACACACCGCCATGCTCTCATTTGTTGTCAGTAAGACAGCAACTTCAACTCGCATCCCAGCTGGGACTAATGCAAGAGTTCGGCTGTTACTGGGGTCAGATGCAGGACAGGAGAGTGGGCCAATCAGTGTGAGCTGTGCGTGATGACGGATAAAACAGCACAATATTAAATCTGATGAACTTCCTTATAAAGAAGACATTCCTGAAGGTTTGACAGATTTCATCTCAACTGCTATAAAACATGCTTCTCAAGCATCTATTAAAGGTGACATATCATGAAAATCTGACTTTTCCAGGTTTTAAGTGCTATAATCAGGTCCCCGGTGCATCTACCAACCAAGGAAACGTGAAAAAGATTAACCCAATCACTTTGTTTAGGTAAGCCTTTTTCTGCAAGCGTCTGAGAAAACGAGCGCGTCTGATTTCGCTCCCTTGGTGACGTGGCAAAGGGATCTCATTATGATATTACCGCCCCTTAATCTGTAAACGTCCACTCAAGGCACCGTCATTTTGATTTCGCAAGCGACAACGGTGTTGTAGCAGAAAGAGGAAAAGTGGCATCCACCATCATGTTAATAAAATGACAAACCAAGATAATAAAAAAAAACAGGTCTAATTAACTTTGATTGATCTCTGTTGAGATTAGTATGACACACTACAAAATCTGAATTCATTAGTATGTCTACTCGTTGTGTTAGTGTCTGTTAGAGATATCTAGACTAGAGATGTACTCGAAAAACAGTGAGAGGAGTGGCAGAGAAATGAAACGCATGTGTCCAGTGCATGAGTCCGTACCTGCTGCCTGAGGAGACATGAATCCACCCACTCCGGTGAGATTGATGACTGCCGTCTGTTGTGCGGACAGACCCTGTTCTGCCGTCAGACCCGGATCAGCCTGATTCAAAGAGGACACCTGAATTACTTAAGTACTTCAGAACATATATACTGTATATTCTTTAGCGTAGGATGAAACTGAAGATGGTTTGTGAGATTGCCAATGTCGAATTGCATTAAATAAAACCCTAAGTCAACATATATATTTAATTTAGAAACAAAATACTTGTACATAAATTACAAAATAAAAAAAATGTAATATGTTAAAATTACCATGCACATTGTTTTTTATATTTACAATATTTTATATTGTCATTATATTCTAAATGTAATATAGTATAATATATAATGATATATTATTAATACAATATCTAAATTAAAACTAACTACATCAAAATATATTTTACTGTCATCTTGTAGACAAAATACATTCAAGTTACCACTAGTTTTCCCAAAAACTTCCTTTATCTCCAACTGGTTGTATATAAATGAAATACAATTATATAATGAGCGTATAATTTAACTGAAATAAATTATATCAAATTTTTATACTATTTGAAAAATAACTATACTATATAATAATTCTTAAAATATCTAAATTAAAACTACAACAAATTTGAAAAATTTACTCTTATACAAAAAAATCATTCAAATTAAAAGTACTAGGGCTGTCAAAAAATTATTCGAATTTCGAATATTCGTCGAATTTAAAATAAAACTCCACATTCGAATGCAAAAACGTTGCATTCGAATTTTAGGTGTGCGTTAAGGAGGCAGCCTTATCAGTTGCACACGAGATGCGATGACGATGCAAGTGTCATTGCATTATAATGTTTTTGTTAGCCTATCCAGTTAAAGCCACTAGATGCGGCGCTGCTGCGTTGTTAATTACAAATATTGCGGGAAAAGAGAACATCAATGCGGAGAAGATCTTGTTTACATCAAAACTGAAACAAAGCCGTTCACACAGAACATATATTTCACGCATTTTCTAGAAGGACATCTATCAGCGTTGCACTTGCGTCTCGCACAAAAGAGCCGCATGTTTAGAAAGCCATGTAAAATTAATGCAAGTTTAACTTTGAAAAAACATATCTCGAGACTTTATGGCGGGGTTTTCTCCCCCATCCCACTGCAACTCGTGTTTTTAAATGAAAAAATTTAATTTGTGTGATTGGCTTTCGGCCCTTTGTATTAAACTATGAATACATACATGATGCTGTTTTGTTTAT